AGTAAATCACTATAAAATTCGAATAATGTATTCTCGGGAACATTGTTGATGAAATATTTATGTCAAAAGTTTAATGGAGTCTGGGTATAACTTACGTTTTTATGGCTTCGAAAAATTAAACGTACGAGTAGCTATGGCCTGGAAAGAGATAAGACCAGGGAGCATTGTGTCGCTGTTTCAACTGACGCGTAGACGCTTTTTATACGCTATACAGGATGTTTATAAAAATTTGGACGAGTTTTTTCAAATAGATTTTTTTAAAAGACTACCATTTTGGCAAAATAATAAGAAGAAATATTCAACCACTTTACCAGGTGAATCGGTGCTAAACATCTTAAATTAAGAAATACAACATAAAGCAGTAACTTTGAGCCGCGAATGATAAGCATGAAATGTAAACTATTGCACGATGTGACGTTTGGTTCTGTATGAAAGCACGTCTTTTGAAGAAATTGTAGTTGAGTTCGTTTCGACCAATAATTGGATAGTTTCGCAACAACATGGGCTTAATCATTGTTTACACAACTAGAATATAATAACAACAATAATAATAATAATTTATTTAATCCATTGTGATCAAAAAATGACATTAGACAGGTCAACACAAATATTTGTTAGAAACGATAATGTAAAAACAATGAACAAAGATACAAACAAATAATGTACAATAACAACACAATAATACATAAATATAAAAAATTTATTACATTGTTACTAAGTAAATATGTTGGCTACTTTGTAAAAACATTTACTCCTTAATTGATCGAACTTTTCTACATCAAGTTCGATATTTTCATAATTTTTTTCTCGGAAATGGTCGAGTTTAGGACCCATTTCATATAAGGTTTTTTGTTTATTTTAATGTACCTATTCTATCGCCTGTTAACATTAAGGCAGTCAAACTTCTAACACCCTGTATTAGCAACGCCGACGTGGCTTGTTCGCTTGTTTACCATTCGTCATAAATTTTTAAATAAATTCCCTGTCTATAAAATGTATTTAGTTTTTCAATCACGTGTCACTGAAACATAACATGTCAAATCATCGCGAGTTTAACAACATTATTATTAGGTCTGTGTTATTAAAAATTCTCTATAATATACTCAATTTCTTTCTATTTAGCAACGTGATGACATTTCACAATACACAGCGAGAATAATAATCTTAAAATATCCAAAAACTTCGAGAACTGAATATATGTACTTATTACTGATATCAGACACATAATGAAACAACTACTCTGCTGGCTACTTACCCCGACCAGCTAGGAACATTCGTCGGTCGAAACCCACAAGACAAAAACCAGTTTCGGACTTATTGGTTCTCATCAGTATGCCACAACCGACCGACGAATGATACCGCTGCTTTAGATGGAGGTAAATAGACACCAAGCGAAAGCAGTGGCTCCATCTGTGCACTGCTACTCACTACATTCAATATAGCCGTATTGGCAGAAAGTGACCTGCAATTTAGCAGTTACTATGAATGCACGACCTCTCTCGCCGTACGGTACTCTGAAAAACAACTACTTTGCTGACTACCTCTCCTACCAGCTCCCCGTAAACAGCTAAAATAATTTGTCAGTCGGAACCCACCAAACCTCGCACCAAAAATAGACAGGTTTCGGACTTATTGGTCCTCATCAGTATGCCATAAATGAGAGAACCTATCACTGTGATAACGTCATGTAGAGATATATACTTTTGTGCATATACTAAATAAAAAAGAAAAATCAGTTATATTTGAAATGGACTAAAAAATGTCTTGCTTCACTTAATGAATGTATATTTCAAGAAGGTTATTCATAAATTGTTATCCACTGATCCGGCTCGAAGGAGCATCAAATATTACTCACAAATCCGGCTCGAAGGACCAAAAAAGCTTAAGTTGCAGATTGGTTGCAATTGCTAAAAAAAAAGTATAATTATGAGTTAGAAATGTAACTATAATTAGAAGCGTAATCGCACCTACGCCCATGCCTATAATACTCTCCATATAATAAAATACATCTAGGTACATATTAAATAAACTGAAATTCCCAGTTACTTGCGCACCTTGTAATTCATATAACAGCTAAATGAAAGCTTATTTATACACATGAGGCCATCATTCTACCGATACTCACAGAGGTTTCTAACAATGGACATCTTACGTGTTAATATTAAAACCTTAAAACTTTTCCTGCTATGGCCTAGTGACAATATGAGTTGGGTCACCAATATCGTCCTGAGTGTAATCCATCAGACTTTCATATTTTTAAGTTCAACACCGACATTCTCAGCTGTAGGATACCAGGTATGTATATTTTTTAAAATCAACTGTCAAATTACTTTTACTTGGTAGATAATGTAGCAAAAACATATGTAAAATACAGTTAGTTAAAATTATGAAGAAATTTGACATACAATTTACAAATTTGAATATATATTTCGGTAATAGAAGAAGACAATTAATTTCAAATACAATTTCGTGTAGATAATGTAATGGCTAAATTAAAATTTGCAGATTGCAGTTGGTATTGACGACATTAATATCATAATCGAATCGATAATTGGTTGTGGCGACTATTTGGGATTCTTATTCGTTTATATATGTTTTCGGGTAAACGTGCCGAAGATCAAAAAGACGATAAAAAGGTCATCCGTCTTCTTGGAATATTGCGGCAACAGTATTGTGGAGGAAGCTGAGAAAAAAGTGCGGTTCTACACTTTAGGTAAATTGACGTATATTGTCAAAAATGTTAACAACGTAGGTATAATAAAATTAGTTCCCTTGATCAGACCTGGAACATGTCAGTTACAGGGTGTTTTTGTTAGTGGGGTTTTAATTTTATCAGCTGCTTATTTATATCAATAAATGTTTAGGACAGAAATTTTTAAAAAATTTTCCGGTACACAAAAATTGTCTGTTACGGCCCTAAAGTAGGTTCTTGTAAGGCGTAATCATGAAAAACGAATCGTTTTGTGTTGATGCATTGAAAGAATTATCATTTTCCTGTCTACCACGAAATGTTTCGTTTACAAACTCAGGTAAAATCATATCCACAAGTTCGTTATTATTGTTTCTGTGAGCCACTTTTTCAAAAGTGGTTATCACTACCCTAAAAAAGTAAAAAAAGTTATTCAATCACTTAACATTAATATTCACAACAAGCTTACTCTAATACCTAAATTAACACCAATCCACCAAAAACTAAAACTGAAAATAAAGGCGATTTACTTCGATTTACTTTTACACAAATAGTTTGTTTTTCACCTTTTATTTATAAAAAAAATGGGAAATTTTAGAAAATTTTATTGCTATAACAGCACAATGGAATAGTTTTATTTACTTTATTTAATTATTTATTTATTTATGTACTAAAGTAAATAATAATTAACACAGAAAAAAATACAGACATAAATACAGAATATATTTTGTGTTATTAAGCAATAATAAAAAATAAATAAAAAATAGTTGTTTGTTTTATAGTTTTTAAAAAGAAGGAAAAACCTTTTCAGATTTAGATTTTTTTTTATTTCTAAAGGCAACCAGTTAGTCTTAACTTTTTTGCTTAAAATATCTAAGTTGGTAGAAGCTACAAGTCAATTTTTGAATGTTAAGTATTGTATTATTTATATGCCCTTTCCACTTAGTGTTTTTGTCAACAACAACAATACCTACATATTTTGTAAAACTTACTTCTTTTATCGCCATGTTAAAATGACCTATGTTTTGCAAAACCAGGCCTACTAATTGAAAACGGTTTTGCTAACATTTAATGATAACTAATGTCCATCAATATTTAAAGTTAATAGAAAATTGATGTAGACTACAAAAAGTATAGGCCCAGGCCCAGTTCCTTGAAGCACACCTACTTTCACCCTTTGTGGATCAATACCAACAGTGGCTAACTATAATATATTGCAGTCCATTAGTTAAATAGCTAGTAAAACGATCAAGCACAATTCATCGAGTTCCATAATTTTGAAAGAGCAGCTTGTCGTGTGGTATACTATCAATCCCCTTTGCCAGGCCCAAAGAGACTGCAAAACATTTGTGCTCGAATCTAGATTGATTAGACTCCAAATGTTGCTGTTTTTGAGAAAACTTACAAATCTAATCTAAGACACTTCTCTTCCAAAATTCATCAAACTAATTGACGTGACAATCTCTTTACTATTCTCTTCTAAATAGAAAAACTAGAAGAAGTTGAATGTCGACGATATCCACACATGTTTACTGAAAAACTGTATCTTTTTAGGCTTAATGATCTACTTCTTCATTGGTCTAACTATAAACACAATCCTCCCTCTGCTAGACTACAACAACTGCAACGAAAGGCGCTTGTCAGATTACTACAGATTGCACGACCCATGCGGAATGCCTACTCGGGTATGGGTTCCTTTCGAAATCAACACGCCAACTCTGTTTTATTTGTTAATTTTCCTACACAATGACGCATGCGTGCATATCTCCTATACGGTGCTGTGTATCACAATGATTCTGATAGGTAAAATCATAATCATAAGCTTCTTCTATAGACTTCGTCAGGTACCTGGGGCAATTTCATCTTGTAAATTTTTAGGTTTGCTTATTCATATAACTGCCCAAATAAAAAATCTTAGGAAGCATTTGATAGACATATTTAATACAGAGGGAAGTGATTCCGAATCGGATGAATTGATTGAGAATACGGAGGAGAAATTGAAATTTTGTATTAAATATCATAATACAATTATTGGGTAAGTATATCTGCAGAGTTCCAACGTACTTTATTGAAACAAACGACAGTATAATTTACAGAATAAAAATTCAGTTTGAATTAGAGTAAGCGACATCTTGAAAAACACAAATAGCTAGTTACTTGTATGAAAAAGATATTGATCGGAGATGCTTATTCAAAATCGAGTAACAGCATACAAACATTATTCCATGCTTCAGAGCACCAGCTAATTTACTTAGAACTTTTTTTCAGTTATACCAATGAGGTATTTGAAGCTTTTAACATAACGCTGATAGTTCATGTTTGTCTCACTTCTATGGTAGTGGCCGTAATTGGCTACCAAATTATATCCGCGGATAACCTTATGGATAAATTACGATATTTCCTACACCTAATGGGATGGATTGGGATGTTGTTCATAACATGTTTCTATGGGCAGATGATATTAGATGAGGTAAGTGTAGGTACATCGGTATTTTTTGTACGCCACAACATTGCTAGAAATATTTTTCAGTACATATCTAGTTTGTTGCTAAATAATAATCCATGAGAATCAGAGGAACAGTATTCTAATGGGATATTATTTTGTTTAGTTTTAGAATTTTTTACTGGGATTTGATTTTATTGTATTTAATAGTGACACATAGACAGTAATTTACATTTTTTTTTTCAGAGTATTACAATTGCTGACGCTGCCTATCAAAGCGAATGGTACAATGGTCCAGAACATTTTAAAAAAATGATATGCTTGATCATCGTACGTTCTCAAAGACCTCTGCTACTGAGGGTAGCTTCTATAGGCGTAGTTTCTTTGGAGACATTTGTATCGGTAAAAAATTTGATTATAGTTGGTATAAGCTGGTGCATCAGATGTTTTTTCGAAAACTGTCATAAAATGTTAACATTATAATTATGTTTCCTAAGCCATAAAAAAGGAACTTTAGTTAACTGCAACACAAACCAGAACAAAATAGTATTATATAATAGGTGCAGAAAAGTGCTAATTTCGCACGAGTTTGAAAAACGACCCGTAAATCTTCCACCTAAATTTTCCGTAAATGACACAACATTAGATGCTGAATTTGAGATGGGATTTTTCTAATATTATTTTGTTCTACAGGTTCGGAAAGTACCGATGGTCCATCTGCCGTTACGTGAGAGCGATAGAGTAAGACATAGAAATCCATGCGATAGAGAAGGATGGCTATAATGAAGGCGTCTCATAGTCACCGCCCGTTTCGCCCTTCCACAAATAAGGTCCACTTCTTATTTGTGGAAGGGCGAAATAGGCGGTGACTATTAGACGCCTTCATTATAGCTATCTTTCTCCATCGCACGGATTTCTATGACTTACTTTATCGCTCTCACATAACGGCAGATGGACCATCGGTACTTTCCGACCCTGTATATGTTCCACTGCAGTATTTTGAATATCAGAATAATTGCTGTCCATTTTTGCATGTATTAATATGACGTGAACTGACATTTAAGTTCCGAAAACATGTGCCGTGCGCCCGGCTACTATGTGAATTGAGGATGATTGAAACGAACGCTTTGTGTATACAGGGTGATTCACGAATAATGTCCAAAAATGAGATCTCGTATTCTTTGGTAAATTTTGAGGGGAGTCTTTACTATAAAGTTTTTATCTAGGACTCTTCGTTAAAAAGATACAGGGTGTTAAACTTCAAAAACTATTTTTAATTTTTTTAAATAATTTAAAAACTAGCAAGTTTTGAAATTTGAATTTGAAGTAATTTGAAATTGGACACATATATTTATGTAAATATTGTCCAAATTCTGAGGGCTTTTCCTACAATTTATATGCTCCAGTGGCGGAGATACAGGGTATCGGTAGCATATTTTTCTAAATAAAATATTACGCCACTACTTTACGGTAACAACCATGATATTTTCGGATTCATCTTTCAATTTTCTACAAATTACTACTCTCTCAATGGCGTACAATTTTATTTAGAAAAATATGCCACCAATACCCTGTATCTCCGCCACTGGAGCATGTAAATTTTAGGAAAAGCCTTCAGATTTTGGACAATGTTTCCTTAAATATATGTGCCCAGTTTCAAATTATTTCACTTACTAGTTTTTAAATTATTTATAAAAATTAAAAATATTTTTTGAAGTTTAACACCCTGTATCTTTTTAATGAATCGTCCTAGATAAAAACTTTATAGGAAAGACGCCCCTTAAAATTCATCAAAGAATAAAAGGTTTCATTTTTGATCATCTTTTGTGAATCACCCTGTATAGGTATTTAAAACAATTGATGCATAAAACTGTGCATAAAAAAAGTATTTGCAGCACGCTTATGTCACTTTTTCATCGTGTTGTGAGTTTTGTGAAAAATTATATGTTTGGATACAAAAACTAGCGCGGAATAGCATATATTTGATAGAAAAAAGTCTCTTGTCTTTTTCATACAACTTTTTAATTTAGTTTAGATAAATATATTATAAATAGATAAACTAATACGTTCTCAAACAGAATAACGTGAATTAGATACATTCATTAATTTAAATTGCTCATTAGGAGCCTCTTTTATAAATTTTTCGATTTCTACTTTCGTCAAAATATTAGACTTCTTTGGATGGTCCAACCAATTTGCTTTTTAGCTCTGGTAGCCTACTAGTAGCCTCACTACCCGTCTTGATAATCGTTTCATACTTTTATTGTTTTCTTTAATATTCAATAAACTTGTTAATATAGAGTAGTAAATAAAACTATTTTCATTGTAGGTGATAAAGACGGCATACTCTTATTTCGCATTGCTGCTCACTATTGCAAAATAAAATCTAACACCGAATACATAGAGGACAAAAAAATCAACACTATCACCAACACACAGTAAGTTTATTAAATCGAAAATAATATATGTAGGTAGTGTCACATACAAACTTGTTAAAGGTAATAATAAATGATGATAAGGTTATGTTTAATTATTCTTAAATCCAAGGTCACTAAGTGATGCTAACTAATCACCTTGAAAATGAAAAAATAACTCAACTACTTCTCCGAATGTAAAATTTCCTGCTCTTTCGGGCTCAAAAACTGTATTACCATCAAAAAACAAAAATTGACATTCAAATAAACTTCAGCAAACGGACACTAGATTGGGATTGAGCGACCCCAAAAACATATGAATATGGTGGTCTAGTCATTTTATATTAATTAATTATTAAAGTTCTGGGCGCGAAACGTTTTAAACGAGTGCCACGATAATACGTGACGTCATTTAGTGCGATCGATAAGATAAATGACGTATGCACCTTTCTTTGGGTTAGGTTCCGTCTCGTTGACATGCCAAACAGTAGTGTCAACAAGCAGGTTATGTTTTCGGTCGCACTAAATGACGTCACAGTGCGTTCTTGATCATGTAACAAAATTTAAATTTTTACATACATTTACTGTAATTAATTTGAAGCATCAAGGAAATTAATTTTTGTATCACTATTGTTGTCGGTTATAAATTAATTCTAAAAGAAAATAAATTTTCATGCAACTTGCCTGTTATACAGAAAAATAAGGTCCATTTTGGCCAGGGAAGGCGTATTTGAATAACATGCAGGTATATGACCGATATTCAGGAATTTGTAGGAGGATGAATTCGTCCGGTATTTTTCCCTCGCGCTGCGTAATATTTTCAGTGTTCGGGATGTAAAAAGGTCTATAAAACAACAAAATAACCGATGAAGTGATAACGTAGAAACGCCAAGTGCCTCGTGTATATTCTACGGCGGCTATTTCGTCGGAAGAGAAACGTACCTGGTGAAAATAAGAAATAAGGTTTTAGAATATTGTTACTCCGAAACTATACTTTTCCGATATGTATTTTAGAAATTATCAGTTGTACTTCGGGTAAGTTAATTTTATTGCAGAAAGCGTAATGTGAATTTCAGATTAGTCACATGTGTCTCAGAAAGCGACAATTTCATTTTAGTCCAGTCGAATTAGATCATAAACGCTGAAAACTCAAAAAAATTATTAGTAAACGTTTTATTACACTTTATGAAGGTGAAGGGTATGTAGATATGTATACAATAGATTTAAATCTAGAAGACCATACTTTATTACCTCTAGAATACCTCAAGGTTCTAATCTGGGTCCTCTTATCTTTTCCAGTTTTATTAACGACATTACCATATTTCTCAGTTACCATAAATTATTATATACAGACGACTCGAACGTTTTTTCTTCTGTGTCAGCTGTTGATGGTTAGGTTCATTTTCAGGTTCAGTTAAATACAGTAGTGGAATGGTGCGATTTAAACCGTTTAAGTTTAAGTATACCTAAATGCAAAATTGTCCCATTCACGCGCTTAATGAATCCCATTCCATTTGACACAGACTGACACTTTAAATGATTTAGGTGTCTACTTTAACAGTAAATTCACTTTATCAAATAGCATTCACAATTTAATTTCTTCAAGTTTGAAGACATTAGTGTTTGTGATAAGGTCGCAACTTTCCTAATAAAAATGGTGTTCAGCATTGACTGAACCTTGATTCTAAAATGTATCGGGTTGTCACAACCTCATAAACCCAAAGGCCCCATAACCCTATGATACTAAGAATGCAGTGAACAGGATGAAGGATTCTAAATACGTTCACTGCATCTCCAGTTCCATAAGGTATCAGGCTATGGGGTTCTTCGGTTTACAAGATAATGCTGACTTCTAATAAAGGATTACAGGATTAGAGGGTTACTTGATCCTTGGTTCCAAGGTTAGTCAACCATACGTATTGTGGTAATTTGAATTCATTCGTCCTGTTCACTCAATTCCCAGTTTTATAGGGTTGTGGGTTATTGGGATCATGATGTTATGGTGGCTTTTGTTAAAGGACAATAGGGTTACTGAGTTCTCCATTCTAAGCTTTTGAAACCCATCAAGATCGTCATTGGAAAGGAGTCTACTCATGTTCTCAGGTTGGTGGTATTCTGATGTTATGGGGGTTAAGGTTAGAGGACTTCAATGTTATGGAACTTGTATGAAAGGTGCAAGAAATACTTAATTTTACTAGTTGTGATCGCGTGGTTTGGGGTTAAGTGAATATGGAGCTCTGGACTATCGAGACTCTTCCAGATATACAATTTACAAAAAATCCTAACGTGGAGGACCAAAGCAAAGGTCAAATTCAGTCTTAGTGAATGAAAATATGTAAGAATGCCGTGGTTTGCTTTACGGCAAGACAACTTTTCTTTGTGGGCCTGTATTATTATTTATGAAGAATGTGAACAATTTGAAATTAAAACTGATTAACCGTGAATCAAAATTATTAGCTGTATCTCTACTCTATGATTTGGTATTTTGCAACTGAAACAGAACAATTAATGAAATGATTTCAGTTGCTTTACTTAGAATTTTTCTGTAATTTTTAATGTTATCGTAAAAGTTTTTAAAGAATAACAAAGAAAATAAATCAGATAATTTCAAATAACTAATAAATTTTTATGTTTTTGGAATGAAGTTGAGAGGATACTATAACTTAAAATTATGGTTACTTTACATTTCATTGTTTTCTTAATGAAAGGATGCTTATTTGGTCTTTATTATACTTGCAGTTACTAATAATAGTATTCAAATGGAAGGAAATCTTATTAGGTATTATTTTTGTATAATATATCACCTCATTATTTAAAAGATGCAACAAACGTGAAACAACGCACTTTATTAATGTAATTTTGGAAATAAAATAAATGTTCTACAAAGAACGCTATTGTATGTAGATGGCCGAATTTCATTCGCGTCCAATTCTTCAAATTTTGCAAAATACCAAATCATAGAAATGCAGCTNAGACAACTTTTCTTTGTGGGCCTGTGTTATTATTTATAAAGAATGTAAACAAATTGAAATTAAAACTGATTAACCGTGAATCAAAATTATTAGCTGTATCTTTACTTGGTATTTTGCAACTGAAACAGAACAATTAATGAAATGATTTCAGTTGCTTTTCTTAGAATTTTTCTCTAATTTTTAGTGTTATCGTAAAAGTTTTTAAAGAATAACAAAGAAAATAAATCAGATAATTTCAAATAACTAATAAATTTTTATGGTATTTGGAATGAAGTTGAGAGGATACTATAACTTAAAAATATAGTTACTTTATATTTCATTGTTTTCTTAATGAAATGATGCTTATTTGCTCTTTATTATACTTGCAGTTACTAATAATAGTATTCCAATGGAAGGAAATATTATTAGGTATCATTTTTGTGTAAAAATACCCCCTCATTATTGAAAAGATGCAACAAACGTGGAACAACGCACTTTATTAATGTAATTATGAAAAGAACAAAAAAAATCAATGTTCTACAAAGAACGCTATTGTATGTAGATGGCCGTTTCATTCGCGTCCAATACTTCAAATTTTGCAAAATACCAAATCATAGAAAAGCAGCTACTACTGATTCATGGTGAATGTCCCATGGATATAAAATAAATTCAAATTATCTTTATTAGAATAATTATTCTGCATTTTTCTTGTCGAGAAAGTACTTGATACTTGAAGAATACTGAATGACAATACCAATATTTGCCTTTCAATGCACATTTGATGATATTTTAACGTAATATTCTTGAAAATGTAAGTAATCCGCAAATATCTGAAAAAATTGAAACTGTAATCCTTGCAATGCGATAAAGGATTACAGGATTAGAGGGTTACTTGATCCTTGGTTCCAAGGTTAGTCAACCATACGTATTGTGGTAATTTGAATTAATTCGTCCTGTTCACTCAATTCCCAGTTTTATAGGGTTGTGGGTTATTGGGATCATGATGTTATGGTGGCTTTTGTTAAAGGACAATAGGGTTACTGAGTTCTCCATTCTAAGCTTTTGAAACCCATCAAGATCGTCATTGGAAAGGAGTCTACTCATGTTCTCAGGTTGGTGGTATTCTGATGTTATGGGGGTTAAGGTTAGAGGACTTCAATGTTATGGAACTTGTATGAAAGGTGCAAGAAATACTTAATTTTACTAGTTGTGANCATCTATAACGACTTTTGACCTCCCTGTAGATGATTTTGGGGGATTTACAGAATCTTGTTCATTTTTTGTTTCCTTTAAAAGTCTGTAGATAGTCGATTTTCCAATCCCTGTCATTTTTGTTAGCATTAGTGTTACCCGATAATTACCTGAAACGAAATATTACCACGCCCATGGCCGGTTCTTATCTCGGTCTTTTATTACTCTCTTTCATTTCCAAACAGACTATAGAATAATTATGCCGCATTTTTCTTGTCGAAAAAATACTTAATACTTGTAGAATAATGAATGACAATATCAATATTTGCCTTTCTAAGTACATTTGATGATATTTTAACGTAATATTCTTGAAAATGTAAGTAATCCGCAAATATCTGAAAAAATTGAAACTGTAATCCTTGCAATGCGTATATCGGTGAAAAGAGAATTTGATTTTCTATAATACGATGCAGAAAAATACAGGGTGTTCCATTTGAATTTAAAAAGTTTTGTCGGTTTTAAGTTTTCGAAATGTAACGTGAAAAATGAGACACTTAGTATAATTTTCTTCAGGTAATTTTAATAGCGGAAGGTAGTGCATCTTATGTTCTTTGTGTATTCCGAAAAACAAGTGAAAGCTGCCAGAACGAAGAAAGATATAAGGAATTTTCGCATCTGTCAATTTTTTTGTAAAATGACGATTACATCGAAATCGGTTAGATTTAGATGCAAGGAAGGAAGAACATTTTTGACTTATTTTTAATTTATCTTGTCGATAATGCAATAATATAAGGTGTTCCATTTAAAATAACGAAGTTGACAGCTAC